CACGAGCGAGCGAGCAGCGATGATTTGATTTCCTCGCGGAATCGTTATCTTCGAGGAAACGTACGGCGAGATAAGAGCGATTGTGTGGCCGTAATGAACGCGTAATCCATTGTCACGGCCAAGTTTCGTTCGTCGGGCAAAATTAGCACGAGAGCGTCAATAAATGTGCGGTGAATTCATGACACTGACTGAAGCCTGACCAGTGCAAAAGTTTGATTCGCAGGAGGCAAAAAATGCATTCCTGCGTATCGAGACATAAAAATCGAAAATTCTTTCAACGACACGTCCGCCGAGAATTTGCATTTGCAACCAATGCCAATAACATGTCATGAGTACCGGCAAATACTTGACAAACTGAATATGTTGTCTTTACAAGAACAAAAAATGATTTTATTTACTTATAGCATGAACGAGAAAAAATCAATAGATTTTTTTCATAGAATATCAGCCGCTTTTAATAATGCCATTATGCACGCGATCTTATAAGTCTAATATATATATTTATGGTCATATTTTTCGAATTTTTTAAGGTCCTCATACTTAGGCCTTCACAATATTTAAATGTTCTGTTTATGTTGGGACGCTCTGTGTGTGTATATCTATATATATATATAAATATGTTAGATCTACGGGGCTTATGCGCGTTTTCTTTCGTTTATCCCCTCTTCCACGTTTGCAAGACGCTATACTTCATTCCTCTATTCCTTTATTATAAAAAAAAAAAAAGGATATTAAAAAAAAGTTGAGTTCATGTGACTGCTGCTATTATCAGCCTAATAAGGTAACTGGTTTCCTGACGGCAATCGATATACAAAGACAAATAAAAATGAATAATAAAACGAATAATTCATTAAAAAACCAAAAGTGTAAAAAATCATTTTTATAATATTTCTCATGATGTAGGCCTGAAAGACCTATGATGTTACTTAAGCGTCAAGATCTCCCGGGTGTTAATCCCAGGGTTAAAATTCGAAAACTAGCGGGATTCTTCGCCGTCAGCGAAATCGAGGAGAAATCGTAGATTGGTGAAAGTATTCACACAAAAAAAGGATCACCCGAGAGATGTCCCGCATATTTTTTCTACACCTGGAGAGTGTTATAAGTGTTATAATGTAGCGTCTCTCGTGGACGTGGGTAAACTGATCGATTCAGGGACTTCCCGAGAGCTTCTGAGAAACGGATAACACGAGCCTCTGTAGCTTTAATTTATTAGTTTCGCGCGAACGAGAACTTAATTTCACGATCCAATTAGATATGTGCGCATGCACACACATACACATATTTTCTTTAGAAATTTTGTACGAAACGCCGCTAACGGAATACAGCGGAGCTGGCAAATTTTCCAGAGTGAGACGTTCCGGCGGTTCGAGATGATAAAAATTCGCGACCGATAAGAGAGCGGCGCGCGGAGCCAGCTAGGGTTTCATTTCGCGGAATAGGTGTAGGGTAAATATGCACGCGCGGCTCGCGTGAATCACGAAACCACAAAGAGCATCCCGGGGAAAACAATGCGCTTAACGTGAGTGGCGACTTTTTCTTTTCGGATCGTAGCCGGGGCGAATTTGATATGCCGAGTCGGCGTGACACAAAAGGGCTCTCCCCGTCGCTCCCGCTCTCATGTTACCGATTCGCACGAAACTTCGTCGTCCTTTAAATCCGCGCCGGCGAACGGCCGAAACATATCAGAATTTTATACAAGACCCGACGCAAAACCGACGACCATATCTTGCAACTGTTAACATATGTATTACAGGTAAATCAGAGATAAAAAATTTGCAAAAATAAATCAGAGCCGATCCTTCGAAAATCTCTCGATGATTTTAATTTTATTTAATTTTTATTTAATTTTCCGTTGATTTTCATTTACGCTATGATAAGCTGGAAACTTGAAATTTGGCGAAATCAAGATGTTTGATTTTTCAACACTCTACCAATCAGAAGTTAATAAACCGTTGACAGGCTCTTTATCGGCGGTATGCTCGATGAGTAACGTGTTAACAAAATCTTAATTCGACGTCAGCACAACGTGACACTCGAGGGAAGTGTCGAGACCGAAGACGTGTCTCCGAGATCGCGAATGTAATTCGGCTGCGAGCGCGAAATCTTAAATTCTCGAGTGTCAAGAGGTCACTACACCGAGGAGAACCATCCGTCCATCGAAGACACACAGTCTCTCTCTCTCTCTCTCTCTCTCGACTCCGTTCCGGCTTGGTGAAAAAATCCATAGCACGACAAGAAGAAGCGACGATGGTGTATCCGGGTGGTACACACTGTGTATGTATAGCCAGCGTAGTATCGCGGAGCAGCGGCCGGTTGAGAGAGAAAGAGAGTAGAGAATAGAATAGAGGTAGAGAGAGGTAGAGAGAGAGAGAGAGAGAGAGCTGTCAAGCGCACGCCGGCCGCGCCGATCGACCTCGTGCACACAAGACGAGAGAAACGTACGTGACGCGGACGTCTCCCGGGCGGCGCCGGCATCGGCGTCAGCGTCGGCGGCCACATTCGCGAAAGACGCATGAATGAAACGACGCAGACGGACGAACGGACGGATGGATGGACGAATGAGCGAGTGAACGAATCTATGCTATTCTTCCGAATGAGGTAATAATCGCGACGCTGATAACCGCGATACGCCGAAAGAAATGCCGCAGCAGCACAGCACTTTCCGGAATGACGGAATTCATGATTGTCTCGTGGTCTCGCGCCGCCTCACGTCCCGTTGATTTTACGACGGCCGTTAAAACGAGTCCCTTTAGTCGCCTTCTAACATCTTACACCGAAAGAAAGAAACGCTGCGTCCGAGTAAACGGTTGTTATGGAATATCGGAGTAATTATTTCACTTGGATCAAGTGAATCCCGTTTGAATGCAAGCACTTTTCTCTCTTTCAATATGCTAAATTCATCAAGTGATATTTACCCAATCCAAGTGGAACAATTGCTCCGATATTCTTTGGCAAATATTCACGTGAATGTGACATTTTTCTTTTTCAGCGTGCGACGGAGAATGTGTGTCGGAATTATGTTGTAATTATTGAACGCACGTTTGGCCAGCCGGCGAGTTTGAATTCGGAACGGAATCTCCCGAGGGGAGTTCCTATCTCGAAATTTTCCAGCTAGAATTTTCGAGAGAAGGATTTCCACCTTTCTCGTCAAGAGCTGGGGGTTAAAGTAACAGCCACACACTGAGAAAAAAGAACTATTCAAAAATGTACTCGTTCATTTAACAAATAACGTTCGATTCGCGACAATATATCGTACAACCCGCAAATAAATGTTCACGTACTTCTTTCTCAGCGCAAAGATATTTGTCTGGTTACTCTGTACAACGAGTTACCGACGGTACGCTGACCCCGGAGTTCATTACGCTACTAGCACTATTATCTACGGCACTATTGTTATCGTGCCAAATGTACTACCGGCGATACGTTGCCGGGCAACGTATCGGATAACGAGTTTGCGAATGTAATCGGGGAGGAGTAAAAATCGGCGATTCCCCCCGACGATGGAATCGCACGCGGGACAGCGGCGCTATCGCGTCGTTTGTAAGCCGTAATTACGTGTTTCAGGGGGCAGAGAGCGAGAAAGAACACGTCTTCCTCGTTTCCTTTTGTCGGACAAGCACACCGCGACTAACCACCTCGCCGTCCACCTTGCGCGCCTCGTAAACCCCACGTTAACACAACTTACTCCCCGACGCACCCTCTCTCTTTCCCTTTCCCTTTCCGCGTATGAAAAGGGCGAGCAATTTGCGCAAGGCGAGAGCGTTATTACTATCGGACTGTCCGACACCTTTTCGTTAGTCTCCTCTCCTCGAGATCTAACCCGCCCCGCACGGCCACTCGCCTCTTATCAGCGCGCCGCCTGTTCTCCGACTAATGCGGGATTTACGCCGAGATAGCGGGGAAAGTGAGTCGAGTGGCAAATTAGTCGCTTACCTTCTTCAACAACGAACGACGACACGGGAGAGCCGGGGGTGACCCTCGTCAGTCATCGCGGCACGTCGGATTACGTTTTTTTTTTCGTTTTCCTCGCCTTTTTCTCTTTCTTTTTCCGTCGCATTCTCATCAACGGAGGAGAGCGATATGGAATTCGAAAGCGGTCGACGTGTCACCGATGCGTCATCGGCGATCCTCCTCGCCAAGCTGGGTACACACACCGAGCGGGTGAGCGGCGAACGCGAACTTTCGTTGCGACAATTTGAAAGATGAGTACTCCACAGCGAATCCCGAACGTTCCGGGCCGATTTGCGATAGGCGACGGCCTATCAAGGAAAGTTCGCGCTGGTAGTTCCAGGGTCTCGGGGAAACCCCGATTTTTTCTCAATTTTCCGCGGAATTTTCGTCGGAACTCCTTCATTACGGACGAAACAGGCTCGGCGGGTTTTAACCGAAGCGTGAATTTGTCCGAACGAATTTCTGCAACCTCCGGCCGGAAACCGGGAGAAATCCGCGGAGAAACTGGGGAAAAAACGGGGCTTTTTCCGAAACTTCCAAACTACAGCGCGTTCAGACATTTACTACAACGACGCGCTGCGCATTCGCCGTTCGTTTGCTCGGTGTACAACCACCACTCACGGGTTCTCGTTTTTTTCCTTTCCCGAGACGAAGGAGCGACTCGCGTGCGATAATCAGCTGCGTTAAACGATCCCCGTGCGCTCGCGCTCTCTCACGGGCGCGCTTCGTGCGACACGCGACGCGCGCGCGACTCATTGATTCTCCTTCGTCACGAGCGCAAGGCGATTGAACCACGCGCGACTAATTATGTAAGCGCGCAGGAGCTTCACTTTGTTGCCCCCTCCCCCCTTCTCTCGAGAGTGATCGCCGGCGGAAATTCGACCGGCGAGTGTGAGAGGGCGAGAGCAGCACGCCTCATCTCCGCGTGCACCCACGCGTCTCCAGGACCGCGCGCACCGGCGATCGTTCTCTTGCTACACGAGAAACCGCTCTCTCTATATTTGCACACGTATACGTGTGTGTGTCGGATGAAACAAAGTGGCACTCACCGAGTAACAGGAGTTTAAGTTCTCGCCTGGCATCCCGCTTGTCCCTCCGCAATTGCCTCTCGATCTCCTGATTGATGCGTTTTTGTTCCTTCGCCTCTTCCGACAGGCAGCACGCCATGGCTCAGGACAGCGGAATCCTCCTTAGACGGGAGGAGGAGTCGGCGAAGAAGGAGGCGACGAAGAGAAACGACCGGAGGTGAAGGGGAGAAGAAGGTGACGAAGGTGGTGGAGCACAGCCGGAGAAGAGCTCGTCGACGGAGGGGGCCGGGGGAGAGAGAGGAGGAGGGCGTACGAGCGATTCGCGGTGACAGCGAACGCTGCTCGCCGACCGGCGGCGACCTTCGTTGCGGCTGCTGCTCCTCTCTCTGTCACTCGATCTCTCTCTCTCTCTCTTTCTTTCGCGTGGTCTCGCGTGCGCTCCCTCCCTTCTTCTTCTTCTTTCCTCTGTCTCTATCTCTTTCTCTCCCTTTCTGCGTCGACGACGCTGCGATGCTCCCTGCGACGGTACTCGTTCGTCGGCGAATCGTCGTTCTGTCCGACGGGGACAGACGGGTATTATCTCGCCACCGCGATCACAGTAACGGCGGCGGCGGCGGCCACGACGACGACGGCGAACGAACGACGACGACGCCTCGTCGCCGTCCTCGTGGTCCCCGTGGTCCTCTTCCTCTCTTCCACTCTCTCCGTCTTTCTCGCCCCGGCACTGCCTCTGTCGCTCCCACTACCGCTGCGATTATCTCCGACGACGACGTTTCACACACTCCTAACAACTCACCACCACCAGCACAACCACTGCCACCACTATCACCACCGGCACGACGGTCACCACGACGACGGCGACGACGGCGACGACGAGGACGGCGGCGCCGAAGACGACGAAGACGACGACGGGGGAACGTCCCCGGCGACGTACCCGTGTTTCCCCCCTCAACGACGGCGGCGTCTACGCAGCGCCGCTGCTCCTGGCGAGGCTCGACGACGCCAGCGACGCATCAACGCGCGTCTACGCGCACGCACACGAGTCCTCGCGCCGCCTGTCGTCTTCTACTGCTCGCTCCTTCGCTCCGTTTTCGCTCGTTCGTTCGTTCTCTCTCTCTTTCCCTCCCTCCCTCTTGCTCTCTTTCTCTCACTCTATCTCGCGCGCGCGCTCCGTCTGGTCCGATTCGCGTCTCCGTCCCTCTCCTCTTCCCTTACTCTCCTTCTCTCTCTCTCTTCCTCTATCTCCCTCTTTCTCTCGCTCTCTTATCACACGTACGTACCGTCCCGAGATCGCGCTCGCTCGCTCGCTCGCACGCACGTTTCTCACCCTGGTACTGGCGAGAGATCGCCGAGGCGCACTACGCGAATCTCTCACCGTGCGCGCGTGTGTACATGGAAATATACCTGCACGCACCGTGCAGCACTCTCCCGTCCTTCTCCGTGTCTCTCTCTATTACTCACGCACGGCACACGCGTACACACATGTAATCACTGGGACGCGCACGTTTGCCTTTCCCACGGACGCGGCGTGTCGATCTGTCGAACGTTCTCTGTTACCGCGGTCGTTCGCGACGGACGTTCCCCCGCGGAGGGCGAGGTCCGTCTGTCTCTGTCTTTCTCTCTCCTCCTCTTCTCACCTCACTCTCTCTCTCTCTCTTTCCTTCTTCCTTCCTCTCGCTCGCTTCTTCACGCACTTCTCTCCACACCCCCTCACACTTCCTCCCGGTGTTGTTCGTTCGTGCTGTCTCTCTCTCTCTCTCCTTGCCGCGGAGTAGAGTCCGGCGCGCGGACACTTGACTACGCTACGGAAGCACGGATGGCACGTCACCCAGCCGAGTGACAACGGAGGAGCCTGGGTGGCGCACGTTCGTTCGAGCCGCGTACTACACGCACCGCGCGCGGCAGCTAGAGAGAGCTCTCGGGAGAGAGCAGCGTAGCGGCGACGTTCGCGATCGGCTCCCCGGCTCGCGCGGTGTTGGGTGTGGTAACCCACCGGCGCTTCGTCTCCCTCTCTCACTCTATCTCTCTCTCGCTCTCTATCCCCCTCGAAGCTCGCGCTCTCTCTCTCTCTCCGTCTCGCGCGCGCCCACCGTCTCTTGCTCGCTCGCTCGCTCACTCACTCACTCGCGCTCCCTCTGTCGCGCTCTTTCCTCTGGCACACGCGAAAAGCTGTCGCCGCTGCTGCTGCTGTCGCTCCGCTGTTACTGCTCCGACGCAGCGATTGACGCCACGGGACGACCGCGGCATACGCGGCACGACGCGCGTGGTCACGACGGCCACGACGAGCACGGGCAACACCACGACGACGACGACGTGTCGGATCGCGAAAGTCCGACACGATGCGCGCGATGCCTCTCGTCGTTCCTACCTCTGCTCTCTCTCTCGCTTTATCTGTATGTGGGTATATATACGTGTGCCTTCGTCTATCTGTATGCTGCCGTTACCGCTGGCTGCTGCTGCACGAGCGCCCACACCTCTCGAGCGGAGCGACTCCTCCTTGCGACACGCGCCGCGCCCGTCCGGCGCGCAGCTTTTATGAAGCGTCGCGCGAGCCGCGGAATCCTGTTAGACCAAACCAGATTGACGAAGCCCCGCGCGACACGGCACCCACGGCCAGCGGCTCCCGTTTCGCTCGTGGCTGCCTCCGCGTATCACCAGCACCGTAGGGCGCGGGGGGCGCGCACGTGTCCGCTAACGAGATTAAAATCGGCGAGTAGGAGGCGCGGCCGCCACCCGCCGGGGAGGAGGCACGGAGAACGTAACGGCGCTGCCGGTGCTGCCACCGTCGCGAGCGACGCTCTGGTTGCGTCGGTCGCCGCGTGTCCCGCCTTATCGGCCGAGCACCGCACGGTTGAGAGCGCGGCAGTTTTTATACGAACGATACCTCAAGTTTGAATGTGTGTAATGGCTCCGTGTTTATTTCATCTCCTGCTTCCACATTTCTCGCTTCTATTACGCAACTCCGAGTTCTTGTCCATTGGAACTTGTATGATGATGATGGTCTCCTGTCCCATTGCTTCTACTTTGACTGTCGTGCGATTTTTATCGGGAAAGCAATTTTCATCGGTTTCGAGATGGAACTGGAAACCTTTTTAAATTTATACATATAGAGGATTTTTTTGGATTTAATAAAATTCCTTTAATTGAAACAAATCTGTCAAATAAACACATGTATTAAATCCAAAGAAACTTTTTTCTCTGTGTATAAACGTAGTTCCCTCCATCGGTGGTCTCACTCTTCCATGTATGTATATTTTTTTGTCGTGTTCACGTGTGTCCTTCTGCATATCGGGGAAAGCATATATCGTACAAACCATTGCCATTGTTCCACGAGAGGATTAAGTTTAGAATGTGTGGCTTCGCGAAGCCTATAATTGCGACTTATTCGATTCCTTAATTAATTAGCATTGAAATGACCGTGTTCGATCAGCGTCGACGTGATCATTTCCTGTCCATGCAGTTCACTTGACATTTTTGGCACAATTCTCCGCACGCTTCTTGCTTGTGAAATGCAGTTTCTCCTAAATGTACGAAAAACCTCGGATAGTGCGGAAATTATGCGCGTGAACTGATGATCTTCTAAAATTCGACGATAAAATTCCGTTGGAAAATTTCCAAAAGAACATATGAAAAACATTAAATCTAGAATCTGGCTTTATCCTTTCTGTTTCTTGTGAGTGTGAATCTGGTCGCAACGACGTTTCATTAAATCTCATACATTCTTTTTCCTTTTCCCCATCTACACAATTAGACAAGGAAAGCATGACTGGATCAATCCCCCTCCCCCTCTCTCTCTCTCTCTCTCATTCTTACTGATGCCGGCTTTCAGCCCTCCAATGGGAGTGCTCACACTACAAATTCTTTAACTGAAGCTCTTCTTACACATTTCTTATACATGTCTTACCGTTTTAAGTCACGTCATTTAACACGATTGAACGTTTTAAATGACGTAAACTAAATCGAAGGAAATAAACATATAAAAATAGTTTCAGTCAAATGTGTCATTTTAGAACGTTTGTGCGTGTGTAAAAATAACACACTTGGATTTACGATGCAGTCTATTCTGTATGTCTGTGGAATTACCATCGCCGAACGCTTCAACGACCGATTGTAGTGCTCGCAGCACGAACAATGGGCAGCGGCGATCTTTTCTTGCGCTGGGCACGGGCGTGTGTCGTCGTCGGAGGAGGAGAGGGAGGGGAGTATCCTTGCGACTCTTGAGCGGAAGCTCCTTCTTTCTCCGTGTCGTTGGAGTGAGGAATAAAAGGGATAATTCTCTGAAAATGAGAAGGATGAATTTCTGAAGGCAGCTCGCCGCGTCTCGATCGGAGATCGCTCGTTCACAACGTATTTAATGCGTTTTACTTGAGCCTACTTTGAAAATAAAACGGAACTTCGAGATTTCGGCGACAGTGATACAATGAAACGCGCGAGTTATGTGCGTTATGTACGTTAACCAGGCGGAACCAACACGTATACATTCGCTTTTGGACATCAACGTGGAGCCCTTGCAACGGCAAGTCATTGATTTGACATATCTTATCCGCTTCTTTGAATAATTAATAATATAATCAATAATAATAATCAATAAGTAATAGTAAAAATTCCTAGTAACTTGGTCACGTTAATTGCATGTTAAAACTATTCCGCCGGTTAATGTACAGCTGGATGTTTACGAATTATTTCTAACTGTTACGAGACGCATACAGACTTGTGTAAAAAAAATTCGGTTCGCCATATATTCGCATAATCACTCCACTGATCGTCACATCAGCCATATCCCTCCGAGCAAGTTCGCCGTTCCGAAAACGAGAAAGGAGAATTGGCAGGACTATTGGCGCGGCGAAGTGACTTTCTTGCTTGTTAACGGTGCTTAACAACTTAACTCGGCTCGTCGGGACGATGATCGATGGATATTCTCAAGCGAAATACACTTCTTTATTCAACTTCGGGGCAAGGAATCACGCTACAAACGCTCACGTGTGTTACGTATTACAAATCAGTCGTTATTTATTGTATAATCAGTTTTAAATGTCAAGACAATTAAGGGGGATATAGACGTGTATGTATGTGTGTGTTTGTTTGTGTGTTTGATACACTTTGTATTAAGGTTATAAAAAGATACGACTGACTGCTTCGGGAGAAAAAGAAGAAAATGATAAAACAACAAGGCGTAAAAGTGACAAATGACGATATAACAATCGATTGCTACACTAAGCATTACGCGAGCTTTTTTTACCGGGATTCTTCCGATTACGCGCTTTTCCATGTTCGGTTGCATTGTGAGCGCAATAAATCGTAGAGCGTGACGTAATTGCCATTGAAGAGATTCCTTGCCATCTTACATATCGACGCGACGTGTCGTAAGATTCAGCCTATCATGACACGTCACGTTGACGCGCGGATGGCAGTAAACGACTATGTACACTTCTCGCTCATTCGATTTTTCGGTTAGATATTATTACAAACATTCGAATCACCAAACTCATTTACAAGTGTAATGTTAATAAAAAAAAATATCGATGTTACGTAACCGAAGGATTCCTTCGTCTTTATCCGGGTTCTCGACACTTAAATGCATTTCGCCCTCCGCTGGACGAGCACGTGGGTGACGCAAAGCGCGACACGGCGGAAACAATAAGAAAACGAGAATTTCGTCGATTCGCTCGAGACGATTTCTCCGAGTACCGTCTCGAGTTTTCTCGCAGATCGATATTTTTCTTTTCTTGAGTATTGCGGCAACTTTCAGCTTCACTTATTGCGTTATTACGGATAATAAACGGGAAAAGTCAAGAAAATCTATCGGTGACCTCCGGCAGATCGATCGTTAGCGTGACAATGGATCAATCAATACGAAACAATCTGATCTACTTGCGCCGATCTCGCAAGTCCGATGCGGGAAAATCAGGACACACGCCGCGATTAAGTGGAAGCTGAAATCCATATACTCTCACTTAACATCACGTTCTCTGTAAGGTATGTGTGTGTGTATATATATTATTATTACAACACTATTTATTACACAAGATGCGAATACAAGATTGTTTCGGGCAGATCTATCGAGTATTGATCGAGTCTACAAAAAATTCTTTTTCCTTTTTTTCTTTTCTCGGGGGTCGGCTCGTTACGTATTCCTCCTCTACTCTGACAATATAGATAGATAAACGGGAGCGATAGTTATTATAATAATAATAGTAATAATAATAATAGCATAATAATATAATAATAAACGCTCTCTCTCTCTCTCTCTCTTTCTCCCTCTCTCCCTCTCTTGTCGCTACTCGATTTTCTACATACATGTACATAAGATTGCGGATACACGCAATGGACGAGTAAATAAAATCTGCAAAAATATATCGCGAATAAATTCCACTAAACACAAAATTCGCTCCCCCTTTGGGCGAGACGAAGAAGAACAAGAAGAAGAGAAGAACTATCGACCGTAAAATTACACGGAGATTATATGCACGCATATATCATCTCATTTATACATTGCAATATTCATTTTCTTACGTATCACTTTTCCTCGATGCCTTATTATACGTTAATATGTCATTGAAAAATTTGGCATTGTGGATCGCGGCGAGATTTTGACCGGTATGATTATCGTTACTCTATATAGACTTGTCCTGCCGAGCGATAGGCGGGTAAATATTGTAAAACCTTACGTTACGAATGCAGACAGGTAGTTGGACCTTGAAGTTTTTCTCACCTCCCCTCGCGAGGAACGAGGAGTTTGGCAACCTCTCTCTTTCTCTCGCGATATTGCGCGCGATTGTTCTTAAACTTTTTTTAGGATGTATGTATACCTCTTATAGCGATAATTTCTCTCAGTGGCCACAAAGTTACCTCGTAAAATACTCTTAAATCGTATATAGATCTATGTACAATTTCATAAAATAATATTAATTTAATATATAGCTTTCGTTTTTTTATATTATAATATTGCATATACCGTGTTTAAGTGTGTATACACGTGTGTGTGTGTGTGTGTATCTGTTTTCATGTATATGTGGCACGTGTCGAATGTGTGTACGTATTACAATATATTATTTTAGTCGCTTAAATATCTCATTTGATTACTCACGGTGTGTTTGTATTTCGTACGTTTGATATGAGAGAGTTATCCCGCGCACACACACACACACACACATACACAAACATACACACACAGGTACCACACACGCACGCACACACTTGATGAACAAAACGAGTGAATGTTGGCACAGACAGTGGGCTGGGTTAAGGCACTTTGGGGTGATTGATTCTCCGCAGTACCCTCCACAGCATAACTATCTTATCGAATTCCCCGCCCGCCCCCCCTCCCCCTTACTCCTCCTGCAAGAGCTCGTCGTCCGCCTATCTTCCTCCTTTCTCCCGCTTTCGTTCCCTCTCTCTCTCTTTTTCGTTTCTTCTTTCCACCTGCGCGTTATACACCTGTACACGTCGTGCGTAATACTACTCTCTCTCGCGCGCACACACGCGCAACGATTCTTATCTCTCGTTTCAATTACGACTCTTTAACTTATCTTAGAGTAAAATACGCTGTTTCTCTGTGAGCATTGGAGTGTTAAATGGCGAACCGCACACAGCTCTCTCACAGAGGCTTCGTGAAGTTCGCCGGGAACATGCCCTTCTCGTTGGTGCCCTCCTTGATGCCCATTAGCCAGCCTTCTTCCTGCAACGAACGAACACGACATCGTCGTCAGAAGAGAAGAGACGTCGGAAACGCACACACGTTAACGTACTTAGGCCTGCGTGTTAATAGTCGCTACTTTAAAATTGTCTCCAGTGAGATACTCGGATTTCAATTCAGAGTTAACTTGTGGATTTTTCAGCTGAATCACACTGACTACACGTGTAACGTCGCGCACTATTGTGACACATTGGCGGCGGGTGAAATTTCGCTGAAATTTTACACACTTTGGAAACACGTTACGAAAACAAGAAGTCCCGTTTGCCGTATGTGAAAAGGTTCGGCTGAAAAAATTCAACTTCAACCAAAGAAAAAAAAACTCGGACCTAATTCTAAATTATGGTCTGAACATCTCGGGCCATGATTTGAGATTAAGTTTGAAGTAACGATTATCAACATGCGCTTTATAGGGTGTGTTTATATTTATAATTTAATATGTAAGTATAATAACAGCGTTATTTTTTTTGGAAACTCGAGTGAGACAACACTCGAATTCGGAATTTCGAGTCAAGATGTGTGAGTTTTTCGGCCGAATCGCGATTACAGGTGTAACTTTACGATTCGAATAAAGAAACTCAAATGTAACTCGAAATTCAGATGCGAGCGTCTCCACATGGCGCATATTTCAAGTAACGACTTCTATTAATACAGGCCTTAAGGACGAGAGAGAGTCGACTCTCGTGTCTCACCTGTTCCTCCGGATCGTCGTACTCCACGACGCGTATGATCTCACCGACGTCGAACGACAGCTCGTCGACGTCTTCGCGGCTGTACTTGTAAGTGGCCTTAACTCTGTACAGCACGCCCGGCGGTAGATTGTCGGTCGTCGCCCCTACAGAGAAATTGGTAGCATTTTCATATTCCACCTCTAGAAGCATCGAATCCGCCCCATTAGTCATGGACCTGTCTGCGATCTCGTCGGGATACGATATTGCTCGACATGCAACGTTCAAAAAAATATGTTTCGTTCATTTATCACAATTTTATAACACAACCGACCGGCCGAACACCGAACTCTCTCCTCGCTTCGGCAAGACCATGCACAAAGGGGGCTACGGCAGCAGGCAACGCTTACTCTACCAATTAACGATGCTGCAAATTTAACAGGCACTCGAGAGATTAATCACCGTCCATTAATGTATACACGTATTAGGCGTACAAATTAATTCGCTGCTGCCTTTTCTCATGAAATTCAAGGTTTAACTGCAAATAGCCAAGTGCAAGTTTAACGCTCGAAATAATTTCCATTATTTGACTTTACTCCGAAAGATATTGAAATTTGAAGCAGACGTTACGAGACGTTAAATGTAAAAGCACCGAATTAATATGTACACCTGATAATTTGCCCCGGGGATTCGAATCGTGCGAGACGGGAAACGAACCGACGATCAAAACGATTCATACCACGATCGACTTGTTCCCAACATTATTGTCCGTTACTGTTTCCAACAGTATTGTCTCATTCTTTTACTTTTCATTATCGTGTGTGAATGTGTGCGTGTGTGAAGGTAAGGTACCGCGTATGAAAGGAAAAGGCAGACCGTCGTTGGTCGAAATAGAGCTGTTCGCGCTCGAGATCAACGTCGGGCAGCGCCGGGAAGAAGAGGAAGCGTCAAAGGGCACCCCGACGTCGACATCCGCGGGCGACTTACCGACTGGAATATCGTACAACTCTTCGACCCGCTTGGACGGCGCGACTGCGCTCGGCGGCGACGCGTCCTGGTTATTGAGAGAGTTATCATTGCTGTTAGCGTTGCTGTTAGCGTTGCTGTTAGCGTTGCCGTTTATCTGGGTGGTCGGCGACGAGTCCCTGGCCGCGGGCTCGGTGTCGTCCAAGGCTGAAACACGCGACAGGGAGGCACACTCAAAACTGTACGCACGCCGCAAGTCGCATCAACACGGCGTGTTTCGCGCTTTCCGCAAGCGGGAACCGTCGCGAAGTCCCGTACACTCCCGTTTCCCGAGTCGTTCTTGCGAGTAGCGAGCGACGAGGAGCAAGGACACATCACGAGAAGAGGCATGCAAGTATTAGCGCACACGCACGTACACACTGGCGTCGTGTATGCCTTATCATTACAATTACGGTTATCAAGAGTCCCTTTTTAATTATTACTCTCTCACCAAGCGTTTATATTTCTTTCTCGACTGCATATTTTTTTGTTGTTGTAATGAGCGCTGTTGGAGAATCTCATTTCTGTTAATGTACCGTTTCTTCGGAGTGTTCGTATCTTCTCAACGTTCTTGAAAAAAGTCCTTTTCTGATAAATGCATTTTTTGCAACGGATCATTGTAACTAGAGTTGTTCACGCGATTTTCGACCTTACGTGCGTAAGGCTGAAAATCGCGCAATCCTCGATCCAGGGAATGGCAGGGCATACAACGCATGCCGCGCGGACTGTACTACGAGAGAACCCGAGGCACGAAAAGCAGTCCGGGCGGGACGGGAAACGGGCGTTCGAGCGGCAAACTCGAACGGAAATGCGAATGCGAAAATAATTACCTCCTGAGATATTGTTCTGTGCCGGTTGCGTGTTGATTATTAAGCTGAAACAAATCGAGACCTTTGTTATCGTTGGGCGATCGGCTTTACCGTATCTTTCGGTATCGCGTCTATTTTGCTGTCTAATTGCTGTGTTACTGTTTCATCGTCGTATCGCGCCTTACGTAATGATAACTATTTGGCATTGCTGCGTTTCGCGTAATCGCGGCAAACCGCGTCTGCCTCGCATTAATTACCGGTTGCGCTCCGCTATCGCGTTTCCTACAACTGCCGATATTCCAAACATTGTATACTACGTGATTGACCTTGTTCAATGTATCTCTTGCGCTTACCGCGCTTACAATAATGTCTTGTCTGTATTATTGAAATTTAAAATATTGTTTAAAACTTGAAAATTTCACAAAATTAATTTACTCACGACGAGTTCGCGTTCGGCGACTTGGGCGACTGCGGTTCCGTGTTCTTCTTCAGCGTGTAAGATCCTCGCTGACTCTCGTTGGCCAATTTATCGACGATCGCTTCCAATTCGGAATACACCTGGGAACATGAGTAGGAAATAGTACACACAGGTGAAACTACTTTTGCGACTTCAGCAAATGTTGTTCAAAACTCGAAACCGAGACTTCGTCAGGTTCGACTTGACTGAAACGAAATGTTCGCGAGCGTGAAAATTGTCTACACAGAAAAAGTGTTAGATTCAAGTGAATAAATATTCCAATACTCCTTAACAAATCTTTACCTGAATCAAGTGATTTATTTTCCAAGTAAATTATCCAAGTAAAATATTTATTTAATCCAAGTAAAAAATTGCTAAGGAATATTGGAATAGTTACTTGAATCTAGCGTCTTTTTCCGTGTAGAAACTAATCGATCGTTAGAACTTGAACTGAGAAGAAAATGCTTAAAAATTTATTTGTGGGACGTAAACTTTTTTTTTACAGAAACCAGGTTTATTTGTGCCAGGTTTATTTGTGCGAAATAAATTTTATACCCCACAAATAATAAATCTAAGTATTTTTTTCTCATCGTAAGTATTGTATCGCGCAATCGTTAAAAGTGATTAAACTGTAAAACGCCCGTGTGGAATTGGTTGGTACCTTGGCACTTTCCGTGTGAAAGACTTGTTCCGCGGCGAAGAGGGTCTGCAGATTGGTGACGAGGAAAAGCACGCGCGAGTCGTACAACGCCGGCAGTTCGTCGTGCAGCTCGGAATTCAGCTGCTCGTACGTGCGCTTCGCCTCCTCCAGCATCTCCTTCCCCCGGGACACCTTCAGCTCGTCCCTTTTCTTTGGATTGCACTGCAGCGACTGGAAGTTGTGTCTCTGACTGTCGTAGTCCACCAATTTACGGCCGCGCTTGTCGATCTTTTTCTGAAAAAAAAAAAAATCGACCAAGCTCATCGTTGGGCGAGAACAGCTTCAATTCGTTCGAGTTATTGTCAATAACATTTCTTAAAAAGCGCGCTAAGAACAATATTGTACCGGTAAAGAAAGATCGTTCGAAGCAGCTATCAGCGCAGCCTTACGCATACACACAGGGAGAACAACGTACCCTCATCTCCGGGAATTGGCTCTGATATGTGTTGAGTGGCACAAGAACCTGATCTGCGAGCTTGTGAGTAAAATCCTGCCACAGCATGTCGAGATTTTGTGCCTGTACGTATAACAGATCGTGTCCGGTCCATTGGCTCTCGTAGATTTCATTCAACGAGTCCATGAGCGTCTTCGAGGCGGCCTGCACCGCTGCAAAACGAGACGCACACACCCGTCGGTTCAGCTTCTCATTCTCGTCTACTCGGTCTCGCCTACCTTATAATACGTTAGCTTCTCGTTACGTCATCGAACCGATGAAAATCCTCCTCGACGAGACGCGCGTACACCGCGAACAAGATTTCTCCGAATTCGATCGATTTTCGATCGATATCGCATCCAAACAAAATCTCATCATTGGCGGGCTCCACAGAAACTAATGTTTCGACTAACAAGTACGATTGTTAGGCCTTCCAACGAATATGCATCTTTATCTTAGATAAAACATTTGTTCGACACGAAAGACAATTTTCTTATAGAGAAATTATTTCTATCATTTAACATATTTATTGTAAACAGATGATATTTTATTTGGCTAAAAATTTCAAATAATAGCGTTCTTTCCGTTAAATAATAGAGTTCCTTTGAGTGAGACGATAAAATATTTACTCACGCAAATAATATTTCGTGAATGCTGTTTCTATGAAACAAATTTCAGTCAGATAAATAGACCAAATCCAAGGAAACCTTTATCTTGGTGTACAAGGACGGTCATCGGCCGCTCCGAGAAACCTCTTCCCGCCGATTTCCCGTCCGGCGACGACACTCGGTCTCCCCGCTCGGGAATTCGCGCGGGGAGCGGCCGGGATTGCCCGCTACTACTTTCCCGACCTACATCTAAACCTCACCTTTAGCGCGTTAACCCGTGTGGTCGGCTTGCGTAAAAATTCCGCGTTGCATCTTCATATCTCTCGTTATCGCTCGCGTTGAATTTCGACACCGGCGATACGCGATCCCCCCGAGAGGACGCAAGACCTTACGTTAAACCTTTAATTCTACAATTAATACAATGAAAGACAATTCCCATTGGTTAAGCCGATTATTAAATAATGCATCCGGTTGCTATTTTTCTTTCGACTCGAAATTTCGTCTCGGAGAGACGAGGAAGGAAAATGAAGGGGGGGAGCGGGCCGGGGGTAGAATTCGCGCACGCGAAAAGGACGCAGCATCCGAGGCGCGTGGGATGCGACAATTAATATTTATTAGGACGATCGCACGCGTCGGTGATATCACAGCGCGGCTAAATCGTAAATCAGTTTCTTCAATTAACGTCGGTACCGCCGCGGGCAATTCAAGACGCACATCAAGTAGCGCTAACGCGGATGATTCGCGCACGCGCGAGCGAGCGTTAACGGCGTTGTCGTTAGCGCAATTACGGTAATCAACCGCCGCGATTTTCAGTATCATTGCTTTTTATTATTCTCGATTCCCGAGCGCACCTGCCTGGTTCTTTTTCATTCCTTCTTTGTTTTCGAACGATGACGGAGACAAACGAGAGGAAAGATCCTCGATGGATCCCCTCGATGGAGCCGTCGATTCTGTTTCCTCGATCTGTCGTTAATTGAAGCAATACGAAGAAAATCGCTGGACATCTTATCGCGAAATACTCCCCTTAGAATATATATACTTCCTCTTGGAAATTTTATTATAAAATTTGGAAAATGTTATCATCATTATTGCCGATTAATAAGCGAAAAGAGTACGTTTGAAAAAAGCCGCCGCCGAGTAAATTCTTGAGCGTTTCGAAATGCCGCGTTACATTCTCGATCGCGAGCGAACGAACTTGAGTGACGTGAAAATTTACCATTCGAGAGGGCCGGCAAAAACTAAATTCTCCCGTTGGATACGGAAGGCGTTGCGAAATTCACCGAGAAAAAAAAAAAGGAAAACGGTGTCGCAACCTTTCCGCCACTGACTGATACTTCCGTCCACATGCCGTCGACGGAGGTACCGAGAGAGAAACTCGCGTTCGGCGCCGCATATGCGGGTATTAATGTGCAAACGACGTTGCACAGCAGTGTCTGCCGGGTGATAAAAGGAAAGCTAAGAGAAGAGCCGCTGCTGCTGCTGACGCGGGTGCCACGCGTTCTCCGAAATTAACACTTCCTCCCGTAGTGAGGAGGAGGAGGAACTCATCCGCAAACGGCTGTGGATGTTGCGTGAGACGTTTGCATAACGGAGAGGCGCCGAAAATTCTCCCTCGCCCGTTTCTCACGCTTAGCTCCCCCGGGTCCTCGACAGTGCGGCTTTATCAATTTTGCATCGCGTTGTCGTGAGACCTCGCCGAGTCTCTCAAGTGCAGATGGGAGAAAGGACCGGCGGGGAGGGAGAGAAAAACGAGATATTTCTCGCGAAATCCCGAGTACGTGAAGAAGAATGACCGACGGCGTGGGAGGGAAGAGAAAGGAAAGCATATTACACGATGGCGAGGCAATAAATATATTAACACCTTGAATATCTCCGAAATACAAGGGTAAAGAAAAATGTATCCAAGAAATTCCATCGACACATCAATGGTCGTCGCTTCAAACACCTATCGTCAACTTATCTTCATCCAGTCGTCGGTAAAACATTCGAATTTTTCCGAAATATTCAAGGCGGCAATAGTTATTCCCTCACTCTGTGCATCGTCTCGTTGAAAAGATGCGGAAAGATCGGCCACGCCTATCGATCGCATATCTCGCGCGCTCGCGGTGCGTCACAATTTGCGCTACTTATCTGAAATATGAACCACAGCGGCGGGGCAAGGTCGCGGTTGTTTTAATATTTTGGCCACACGCCGCGAAAGATCGCGGCGAATTACCGCCGGGAGTAATTTCTTCCTGCCGTCATTCAAAGGTTGTTTCGCTTCGCGCGCGAGAGAGCACGTGCGTGCGCGTGTGTCCGTCTAACTTGCGTTGTGTTACCGAATATGTGCGCGATTAAAATATTACGTCGATTCCTGTCGTCGTAATTGATGTCGTATGCCCACAACTACCGCCGCTCGTTACTCAATGTCCGCGACTTATTCATCCGTCCGTCATTCAGCCGCGCTGTACAACGATCGCGACGAGAGCGAGCGAGCGCGCCGAGATTGACAGAGAGCGAAAATGATTTTCCCGCGAGCGAGACGACGGCCTTCGCAATTTGCCATCGAAAATTGACCTCGCGCGCGAAACGAGGCTCGCTGCGCGCGCAATGCGTTTCCCGAATGCTCGATTCTATCGCATAATAACGTACAGGATCGCAAGCGATTTTACAGGGAAAAAGCGCTTGATTCAAGTAAACGATTACTCTGATTCGCCTTGGGAAATTTTTACTCGAATTCCGTTCAATATTATGGAATCGGGTAAATATTTTATTTGGATAATTTGCTTGAAAAATCTCTCACTCGTATCAAATAAATATTATTAATCCAAGTGGAAATTTGGTAAGGAATATTGGAATGACTTTTTACTTGAATCTGATGCTTCCTTTCTGTGTATATTTCCAATGACAATATGTCTTATACTAATCTGAGGCACATTTGAAACATAAACAGATTAAGCTTCTAGCGAAAAACGTTTGTGAAATAAATTCGACCCTTAATGGGTGAAAAAAGTGAAAGAAAGAAAAAAAAAATTGTTGAATATATCGATGAAGAGAGACGGGGCGAATCTGAAGTATCCCGCACTCGTGGAAATCACCTCCGCGAGCTAAGCCGCGCGTCGATAGACGGATACGTCGATCCTTCTCCGCGATTCGCGAAAAAAGGAGTGCAGAGTACATCGAACAATGCAACCTCCACGTGTCTTTAGCAAACAGGTCACGGCGACGTAAGGTTGAGCGAGCACGTCACGCTATTTTCCTTCTCTTTTCTTCCTCGCGTCTAACAAGCGTCTAACGATTGCGCCATTTGGAGAAGAGATCACCGGCGAATTTGTCCCCCGACTTACCTCGAACACACCTGATGTAATTGTTGAACTCCTTTTGCAGCCTGTTGGCGGAGTTCTGCTGCCTCGTGAAGTTCTGCAGGTGCTCGTCGAATATGTCGTCCGCTGTTCGGTCGACCTTGCCCAGGTTCTGGAGGAACTGCAACAAGAGAGGAAAACGGTGCTTCTCAATCCCCGGCTGTCTAATAATTAACAATCTTTCGAGAAGACGCGACAGATCGCGAATTGCTCCGACAACATTCTCGCGAGACCGGCGTGAATTGTCGACAATCGCAATCGTGACTTATTCGCTGTATCATCGCGTATCCCTTTAATCAGAAGGACGAGGTCGACGAGTGAAACTTGGGCGTGCTCGTGAATTTTTGCGTAGGTCTCGTTCCCACAAAACGCTTACTCCGCGTAGGTGTGAAGCATCTCCAAAGGTGGAAGACAGCCTAGAGTTTTCTGCCTCGGCGCGAGCGAAGGCTCTCGCTGAAAGACAGCTTCTCTCCGCATTACCGAAGACGAAGAAATTTTTTTAACATACCGTTGCGCTGAGAAAAGTGTCTGATATTTGCTGGAATCGGCTTACGGATTGTGGAGTCGCGTTTCACGTGACAGAAAAATATACTTGGTATTCGTAACTATAATGCCTTAATTATACATCGTAATAAAAGAATTATAGTCAGGAAAACTATTTTTCTAGTATCGTCTTAATATCGTGTCAGTGATAATAATAACCTCGCGTGCAAATTGCTACTACTATTTCTGTAGAAAAGGGTGTAAGCTGAGGCCAACAATGACTGTAATTTCTTTCTCAGTGTGCATTTGTGATGCATTGATATTTGCGATGTACCGGCTGTAATTATATAATGAAATAATTACAGTCGGGGAAACCATTTTTGCAGTAAGCGCTACTGCAGTATGAGCGATAATAACCCTGTGTGCGTATCCTTGTTATTTGTTTGCTACAAAAAAAGACTCGGTTCCCGCAATTGAATCGAGATCGGATGAAGACTCAGTGACGAGAAACGAAAAAAGAAATCTTTTCCTCTGTGTATTAAAACCCGGTTGAGACAACTCAGAGTAATTGATCGAGTAGAAATTTCCTGAAGGAATATTTCTGTCCTTACAACCAAGCTTTTCAAGTTTGATATCCAGGCAACGAAAGATTCGGTTAGATCAATTGCTTTTCCATGTAAAACAAAAAGATTGGCTGGAGCCGAAAATGAGTCGCGCGGAAGACGATCCCCATTGGCTCGATCTACTTTCCCGGCCGATGAGGCCGGGATTTAACAAGAAACCCATTAGACCGTCCGTAACATTACCATTGTTATCGAAAATCAGGCGCGACGTTGCGAAAGGATACGGATTACGTAACAATAGCAGCCATCAACCACGGAGAAACTTCACGCCGGGGATGCCGTTCGGTCGATTCGATTTTCAATCTATCCACGAGGAGACGCTCGCGAAATCAAATCGTCTAAGCTCTAATTGCAATTATTGAGGGAAGAGAGCAGACGATAAATCGTATCTACTGAGAGAAAAATATCTGAAAAATAAAAAATCTTTTTTCGGTAAATAATAATAACACATTTATTTAAATCTGAATATCCTTAAAAAAAAATATATATATATATATATGGGATAAACAAATTTTTTTCGTAAAAAAGCTGCAGATTAAAAAAATGTATACACTGATAAAAAGATTTCTACAAATTTAATCAATTTTATTGCATCCAAACAAATTTACTATCTTTTTCCCATTTGAAAAAAAATTTTCTTAGTATAAAAACATGTATATTAATATAAGTAAATACGCCATTAGCACCTAGCAAATAAATATTTGTTTATTTCTTAGATATTTTTCTCTCAGTGCAAGCATATGGTGCGTATATATCGTGCATATGTCTGGTGTTTCGTTCAGAGAGAGAAAGAGAGAGAGAGAGAGAAAGAAAAGAGACAGAAAGAAAAAGAAAGAGAGGGAGGGAGAGACATAAAGCAGTTATTGTACCTACTGTTACTCAAAGACAAAGACCAAGATATGAAACATCTTAAACCGATAAGTGAGCCATGCCGCTAAAGATGCCCTTACTCGACGCTTAGGGTGATCTCTCTCGACGGAGGGAATTAATACTTCCAAAGACAAAGGACAAAATAATGTCACGAACGTTGACGTGTCCGTTGTTTTCGATATTTAATATTATTCCAACTCATCCGGAGAGATAAGTTGAGCGAGCGAGTGAGTCTGCAAGCGAGTCGGTCTGCGAGCCCGCATTAGCGGACCAACAGAAATAGCGTTATCGCGGGGTGAGTCACGGCGGCGCGGGGGGAGATTTTTCGCCCCGGAAGCTGCACTTGCTGCAACGACGGTGAATATGCGCGGATATATCATCCCATCGCTTATCGTATACACGGTATGTCGACTGTACCGTTACACCACCACCATGATAATATTCCGCGAAATACTTGTTTCACGAAGTAACGAGAGCCTCTCGTTGTTCCTCGTTCACGAAATTACGCGTAATTTCGACGATATTCGTGCATCTGACTGTCTTCAAAGTCCGACGCGAATACTTGATTCCGCCAAGCTTTCGATTTTCCGGAATCCAATGGCTGCCGAATTTTCCTAATAGGTGAAATTTAAGTGACGAAGATTACCGTCTGTTCTTCGTTTTCCCTCTCTCCCTTCGTCGTTTTTAAAAACCATTAGAATTCAACCGAAGGTCGTCTATCTCGGGCTAACTCGGCGAAATCGACCGTGACTCTGATGCAACTTTCAGACCTGCCTTGATAGAGCCGTAACACGACACTCGTCTCAGATCTGGATTTGCACAGTCGGATCTGAGAATTTCCCCCGTCAAGTTGTGTAATATGATATAAATTAAACGATACGTCACACATCTCGTATCTGTAATCGCGATAATTCAGTCGCAACAACCAACACATCCGACTCAGCTCAAATTTAAGTGTCTCTCGCGAGACACTCGAGTTTCGACGCGAAACGCGACTATTAAATACGGCCCTCGAAAGTAGACGCTAATACGCGCAGTGATCCGGATTGGTCGATATTGATAGGTGTTAATCATCGCATCACGACACGACCCACTGCACGACCGGCGACATTCTTTTTTTTTCTGTCCAATACGAGGCACGATTTTTGTCACGACTTCTCTCTCTCTCTCTCTCTCTCTTTCAATTTATCTCTCTTCCTCTCTTGCTCTCCCCCCTCTCTATCACCGTACCGTTATTCAGTCGGCGTGTAGCTTCCATTCGATACCTTGTAGCAGGTGAGAACGAAGACTGTGAACTCGTTTACACGCGCGGCCGACTTGCACGCACGATTCGCGAACTCGCGCGAATACGATATCGCGCATGCGAGAGCGTTATAAATATCGGGCGAGCGTGAATTCGATCAACGAAACGCGAGGTCTCGCGCGCTTCCGAACTTCCGTCAATTCTTCGCCAGTTTTCCGGCCAGAATTCCGCGGGCCACGTGAAAGTTTTGCAAATTCCACCGCCCCGAATCCCGCTAACTTCATGGGCGTAATCAATACCGCGCGAAGCGCTATAAAACACCCGCTCGGTTCCTGCGATTTTGCCTATCGCGTCGAAGACAAACCATCGACATCCGATCTCGCCTCGTGACTATCGGGATTTGTCCTTTTTTTATCTACAGTCATTACCCTCGACAGCCAATTATTCGCCGCTTCCGGCGTTTTCCGTATAAATAGGAAAACTTTCACTCGCGCGCGTATATACGGCGCGATCGGTAACGGGGCATTACGGGAATACGGAAGATTCCTCGTTCCGACGATCGGCGGCCCCGGCAGGTTTCACGAGGAAATTCACTTAAGGATGTATATCGATCAGTCAGTGCCGTATTTTCATTGGCGCATCAACGAGGACGCTCGTAAATTTTAGTATTTATCATACAAATTACGTTCTTCCGCTCTATTTCACTATGTAAGTAATAAATGTTAACTTGCAACGGAGTTGAGGTAGACATGTACAGGGTCTCCGAAACTTTTCGGCCAATCGCTCGTGTGAAGGTTAAATTGGACAGAAAAATCTGCCATTTTGCAAACAACCGCGCAAATTTTTGAGTTATTCATTAAAGAAGCCTCTATACGTAGCCATTTTCAATAATTAATGACTCGAAATTTTGCGTGATTTTTTGCAAAAAAAGACCTGCTCAGTTTAACTCGTTCTACTCGCACACGGCCGGTCGATCAAAACTTTCCGGACGCCCTGTACATATTTCGAGTATTACTACAAATTATGAACTTTGCACCGCTATATTTTCAAAACAAACACGAAAATTGTCATTAATTCTGAAATCTGTGTATAATGTCTGCATGTTAATCTTTAATATCATAGTAGTTTTTCATCAAAACCTTAATTTTAATCTAAAAGATATTAAAAATAGAAAAAAAAATAGCTGGTCTCAAGGAACACCTATAAAAAGAGTCAACTTTAGTTACATCGAATAGTCAATTTTTTTTTTAATTACACGAACAATGAGTTAGATAATATTTCAATTCTTATCAAACTCATTTCATCTCACGACCTCCTTTAAAGTGTAGCAACTTTTAATCCAGGCTCTGAATTACCGTCAAACATTGGTATCACGTTTAAATGCAATGCAGATCAATTTGTAACTCTTTCATAATTTTTTCATTATTTCGACTCGCGGAATACATCATTAAAATCCTGGCCGAGCTTCCGGGCGCGCAATTACCATTTTCTATTCTTGTCCGTATCCCATCCGACTTTCTACGTCTTCTATCCGCGAGCGAAGTCGAAGTCGCGTGCGTGCGTCCCGTCGCAAAATCTTTACGCGTACGTAAAAAGTATCGGCGCAAATAATAAGTTCGATATTATCGCGTTATTTCAGAAGGCCTCGGCGTTATTTCAAGGCGCTATAAGCGACGCGCACTCGGACGGCCCTTAAAACGCTGTATTTTTAATAAAACGCCGAGGCTTCGAAACGCGAGGCAACCCGGACGTGTCGTTTCCGAAATAGATGGTCCTCTCTCGGCTTTATTAATAGCCGAGCAGATGACGCGAATGTGCCGTTGCATCGCTATTATTGTGCCATCCTATGGCCCCGTTTCGCCACTCGCTGCTGGTTCACATTGTGAACCGCGGGAGAAGCAT